GTTGCCAAATAATTTCTTTCAGTTAAAAAACCCGCGAAATTGATATTGACTACTAAAAAGAAAGGTGTCGATTTTCCTTCCAGTTGCCTGGTGTGACACAAAAAATTTTTTTTTTTTTAGTACCTAATTTTACATCGTACACATTTTTTATATATTCTTCAAATGATCTTCTGTTAATATGAAAAACAATTTTCTTTGCATTGCCTGACGGAGACAGGCCTATCAACTAGTTTAATATTAAAAGGACTAATTTTCCAACAAAACGACACTAATTTTGTTTTTTTAGACCTGTTAGTTCTTGAGCTACAGCCGTTAAAAGTTGATGCATAAGTACTCACCCCACTGTATGAAAATTTACAACTTATCCGAGATAGGTAATTACTGTATTTTGTCCATTTTTATAAAGAAATAAACCATTAACCAAAATTTATATTTTTTGTCAAAGTTTCACCTATTCAAGGTGAAAGCGGGAGAAATCCTTAAATCCCTTGGGAGTTATGATATCCTTAACTCCCTTGGGAGTTAAGACCCTGTTTATGATTATTGTAACCAAGGTTTTTATATGGTTATAATAATTCAGTAGGAAATAAAATTCTTTACATAATTTTTATTTAATTTAATCCCTTTCAAACATTTTATTTTTAGAATATAATGTGGCTAGGTCAGTTTTTGTTTGTTTCTTATCAACACCAGTAAGGGTACCTACTGGCCGTATTCAAGTATATTCGGACAGTCTCAGCCTTTGTTAATGAGTGCAAGTCGCTCACATCGTTCTGCCGATTTGGATACGTTCCGAGTTACGTGACGCGTTCAGTTCGAAAGCGATGCAATGATATTAAAGTGATGGAGAGTGTACAATAAGCCTCCGTTGATTCCCTTTGCTTCATGTGCAATGTGCAATGATAGTTTGAGTGAAGGTGAAGTGATTTTGGTAAAAAAGAGAGGAGTGGAAACTTTGCTTACGTGCAGTATTAACTTAAAAAACCAGGAACACGAACGCTTACTGGAGGAAGTGAGCGACATTTCAGAGCATAGTGTGTGTCAGAAAAAGTACACCAATCCCAAATTAATAAAAGCAGCCGTGCAACGCGGGGAAAAAGAAGTGAGAACAGCGAGACCTACAAGTAGCTCATCTGAGCAGTTCAACTACAAAGAGAACTGTTTTTTATGTGGAGAGAAAATAACTGTTGATTTCATTGAAGCTAAAAAAAAAAACAATCTGAGGAAAACCACCTATTTAAAATATTATTTCTTCAAATAATCCTCACTTTTTAAAAAAAAACTTAATAAAAGTAAATGTTGAAACCATGTAATGCTCTGTGGAATTGATGGGATCGAGAGCGCGCTGCAACAGAAAGGTACCGAACCGAACGGGAGATAGAGAATACGCAACTAGACTAGAGAACAAGCTGGGCTGGTCCCTTAGACGCGTGTCTGTAATTATTCATTATTCAATTTTTATTTTTATTTTGCATTAAACTGATTGTTCAATCCAATTTGTTATTAGTGTGTGTGTCAAGGAGCGATCACAAGTTAGTTGAATAATTGTTATTTTGTTTTTGAGAGTTCAATTATTTATACAAGTATAATTTAGTTTCATTTTTATGTTTTTTTTCTTTATAACATTTTTTATAACATGTGCATTGTTCATGTATTTGACAAAAATCGTTCCATGCTGTAAACAACACAGATAAAGAGTAAATTAAAACCTAGAAAAGTTATGTGCTGTCTTTTTGTGCTGGGATTTTGACTTTCTGGATTTAGGGCGTACATTAGGGCCTTGTTGAATTTACTAACATTTTCCTACCCTGACGAGAGAATATCCTAGCAAATTGAAATAATCAATCTAGAGATATTGGCTCAAAAACAACTTTAGCTGAGTAGCTTCCCGTATTGGACCTCAGTACCTGCTGGGAAACTGGCTAACTAATCAAAAAACTTTTCAGTATTGATTATAGGTAGTGTAATGTTTGGTGTGTAATTGAAATTTTAGCACAAGAACAGGGGTGGTACCTAATTTAAACTTTTATTGACTTAAATTATTGAATTAATTGACTCACAATTATCATTAAAATGACACAGTATGTTTCGATTTTTGAGGAATGTTAGATCGAGGGTTTCTCTGCCGTGCTCTTTCCCCTCGTTAGTTCCAGGATGAGAACGGTACGATTTACTTTAATAATAAAGTAGACGTTTCACAAATTTTTCGTTTCTTTTACATATCACAACCTCCCTTAAATTTCCCTAATATTTGCTATGTCGGGCGTATGTCCAGTTAGTAAAATTGAGTAATTTTCCACAACGTAGGTGCTATTTGTTTTTCATTTCGTTTTTCAGAAGATTTGTTGTTTAAAAGGTAATAAAAATTCACACCGTTCAATTTTACTGAACTAACCCGGGTATGTTATACTACAAATCCTGAAAAAAGAATGTGATTGCCGTGGAGAACTTGCAGATAGTTTCAACTATATTAAAAACAGCTGAGAAAAGAGGCGATGACTGGGCACTGAAAATAATAGAGCGCATCTCAGAAGATACTGATTTGCCTGCACTAGATGCAAGACATCATCGGTTTTGTCTGAGACAGCTTTACAGACCTGTTAGAAAAGGGCTAGAAAGGGAACATCCTCGTGGCACGGTTGATGAAGCCATGAATAAAATGTTTGATTACCTAGAAGAATACTCGGAAGAGTGTCAGTTTTCCTTCACAGAGTTGACAAAGCTATTAGGTGAGAATACACTTGATGGGCGAACCAAAGTCGCCTAATTGAAAAGTAAGGAAATGACGTAATAATAGTTACCACATCAAACAAAAAAACACTTGTTTGCTTCAAAAATACTGGATACAAAAACGTGGTATACTAAACAGAAAACGGATCTCCAAGAAGAGCGCCTCCGGGTGGTTAAAGCAGCAGCTGATATTATCCGAGAGGATATTCGCTCTCAAGTGTACGACACAACAGAATACCCGCCCTCACAAACTTTGTTGCAGGATGTGGATTTCGTAATACCAACCTCGCTGAAAACATTTATGTAGGCCGTGATCGTAAAACACAAACGAGGTTCTCTGGATAAGTGGCGTAAAAAGTGTGTTGCTCTATCACACTCAATAGTGTCAGCTCTCAGACCTCTGCCATTCTAAGTGCAGAAAAAATGCAACTTGAGCAGAGGAGCTTTTTGCAATTCACCTCTGACAACGCGGAGTTTAATGTCAACACACTGAATGGATTGGGCACCTTCCACGCTTTAGGAGGTATAATGATGGTGACTTCCAGTGAATCAATCATTCCAGAACAAAGTTTTGCCTGCATGGAAAGATGCAGTGCTTCCCAGCTTATGCACCAGAGACCATCTGTGCAGTTGCAAATCTACCAGCCGAAAAAAAAACAAGGTCCAGCTTCCATCACTATTGAGGATGTAGACAGTATTAAACAAATACCTGAAAAGATTGCGCCATCTTCTTCAGATGTTGCTTGGCTGTTTGGCAAGAATATGAAAAAGTGGAGTGTACCTGGATGGAATGGTAATATGGAATAGGCTACAAATCACTGGCCTTTCGAAACAACAAAAGTTGTCTGTCTACCTTTCATAAAGCATCGCCATCACAGTATCATACCTTGATAACTGCTCTTCGGATGGCCAAAGAAAAATGTGAGGTCTTTGGTCAAAAAACAGGCTTTGGGACCTTCGATCAACCACTATACAAAAAAGCTAAAGAGAAAGTATCAAACTGCAATGACGAGCGGAATAATATTGTTGTGAGGTTAGGTGGTTTTCACCTACTGATGTCATTTATGGGACCAATAGGCAAGATAATGGAAGGGTCTGGATTGAAGGAATTCTATTCAATGATTTGTGCACCTAAAAGTATTGATAAGATAACTAATGTCAGGACATACTCATGCGCGTGCTGTGAGTTCTCCCACTCTAACCCAGTTGGCATTAGCAGCAGAGGTTGTTAAAACTGTAAATATGAGTGATGAATATGAAGGTGTACTCGATGACGTAATCTGCAGCTTTAACAGCTCTACTATCTTAACGCTATCAGAAAATGAGCACTTCCAACTTATTCAAACCAAGTTCACTAATCCGCTTGATAATCTTGAATTTGATGGTCGAACAGCAAAGCTTTTGGTTCAGTGTATTAAAATGATAACTTTAGTGAAACAATTTATCGAAGCAGAGCGAATGGGAAAATGGGATCTGCATCTCAAGACTATCCAAAAAATGCTGCCATTTTTTTATGCAGCTGGCCATTTTTTTATGCTAAGTGTGCCCGCATGTACCTTCAAGACATGTTAACACTAGAAGAAAGAATGGATCCTTACGAATGCCAAAAGTATACAATTCGACGCACCAAAAAATTCTGGTATGGTGTATTGTCGGACATGACCATTGAACAAGTTCTTATGAGATCAATGAAATCCTACTGAGGTCTGACCCGGGGTCGCGAGATGACAGACATTGTACTAATCCGATAGACATTAGGCCATTGCCTGCAAAGCATATGTACGGATGTAGAAAGCTACTGCGATATTATAAGTGGTACGTCTGAACAGCATATTGATTTACGACCATTCAGAATGACCAGAGACGAACAAGATGTAGAAAAACTGCTTGTCTTCTTTCAACTTTATCCTTCATTTCCCAATAAATAGTGAGCTCGTTGGAAGTAAAGTGGTAAACTGTCACAATGCGGTAAAGATTGGAAAGGAGATGATGTCAAAAGTTATTGGTGAAAATTTCGAAAACGTGAAGTTTACTAGAAAAAATACAGTGAACACACTTGCCTCTGCTGCCTGCTCTGGCGGAGAGAGAACGGTGAGCGTTAAGCCCTCTCACTCTCTTCCACAGATTATGCATTTTCAAAAAAAAAAAACTGACGAAGAAATGAAGGATTTTTTAGCACATGAATTGTCACCATTTTCCATGGCACTTTTTACTGAAGATGGAATTAGAAAGGGTTTCATACAGCCTTCAATTCTGTGAGTCTTGACGAAATGCAACAAAGGGAGGATACATACGTAGTTGTAGACGAGGGACATCTGCTCTACAAAATTGTGTGGCCTCGGGGTGTGTCTTTTGGGGAGATCGCCGTCAGGTATGTCAAATACTTGCAAAATTACTACAGGTCAAACATAAGAGTAGTTTTCGATGGGTATCCATCGACGTATCAGAAAAAAACACCAAGAGCTCTGAACGTCTTCGTAGCAATGTCCTCTCCAGATGCTGTCTTCGACGAAACAACCATTGCTCCAGTTAGTCAGGAGAAGTTCCTATCAAACAACAGGAACAAGGTTAGACTTATCGACATGCTGAAAGTGCACCTAGACAGGAACAAAATTTTAACACTACAAGCAGAGGAAGATGCTGACCGGTTAATAGTAACCACAGCCATTTCCATGTCCTCTACATACGACGCAGTGAAGATAGCCGGCGAGGACATAGATCTGTTGGTTATGCTTTGTGGCTTGTCATCAGATGGAGGAGAACACACCCTTTAATCAAACAGATTACGGACCATTATATTCGAAAAATGTGGGAGAGGAAAAACCCCAAATATCACCCCCAAATATCACCTACTCATCGAATTCTTAAACGCACCAAGCACAACCCGGAATGGTCCTGTTCCTTCACGCATTCAGTAGTTGTGATATAACATCAGCCTTTTTTGTACAAGGAAAAATGAAATTTTTGTCGACGCTGAAAAAACAGCGGCGCCTTGAACAACACGCTTCAGTTTGCACTTGCGCAGGTCGCTGAAGCAGGAGAGAGCTTCCTCGTTTCATTCTATGGAGGAAACAATGAATTCCAAAATCTGGATGACCTTCGCTTCAAGTTGTTTAGAAGGGCGGCCGCTAAGTCCAACATGAACCTCGCAAGGTTACCTCCAATCAGCAATGCTGCAAGATTTCACTCCCTCCGCACCTACCACCAAATAAAAAGATAATTTTTCAACTGCCGACCCGCAGAGGGTTTTAAAAATATATCAATTTCATTTGTTGCCACTATTGATTTTCTTGAAATATGGTTCTTAATTCTGTTGTTTTTTTTTCCAGGTACAGAAGTGGCTGGGAAGTGCGAAGAATCCCCTCGATTGGGGATGGATGGCAAGTACACAAGGCCTCATTCCGCAACTGATGACGGAACCAGCAGCTTCTCAGCCCCTGCTAAACATGATTTCTTGCAACTGCAAAAAAGGTTGTACCAACAATAGACCTATCTATTTTTACCAGGTATGCGCGCGCAACACGAGGCAATCCCTTTTGATTGGTTAACTAGTACAGGTATGAAGTTTTCGTTTTGCACGCTGGGTATCTCCTTGTCCTTGTTCATTGCCCGTGGTCTGACAAGAATAAAAATACGGTTGATATTCAACTTGACATTGCTTGACATTCAAAAGTTGTTTGAAATTTTCATTGACAAATATGTTGCACAACACGCGGTATTTCTCCTTCCCTTCTTATCCCGTGGAAATAAGAAAGAAGGGTTGCTATACGTAAGTCTAACATAATTTGGTACGTTTTGCCTCGTCTTACGCAATGAGCGTTCTGTGTCTTTTTTTATCTAATGAAGTTTTCGTATTATTACCTATTTGTCTGGTAAAATATATAGGTCTATTGCGGTTGTAGAGAAGCAGGACTCAAATGCTCAACTATTTGCAGCCACTGTAGCGGTCACTCTTGTGAAAACATACCAGACCTCATATTTGACGACATTCATGAATCACTCATTGATAATGCACTATTAGATGACGACTTCGACCTGCCTGGTCCGATGAATGAAGAAATCCTAACGGAGCCAACTGCTCCAAAAAAAAGTGCTCTGTATTTAGAGGACCAGCCTGGTCCATCAAAGTTATACAAGAATCAATGCTTATTTTGTTAACGTTTTTGTGGTAGTTTATTTTACAGATAGTCTAGGAAAATAGTCGAAAAATACATGTATTGCAAAAAAAAAATTCCTACCCAAATGAACTTTTCAGAGATGATAGGGGGCGGGTGGGAGATCAAAAAACCGAAAATATCAAACATTCACCCCTCTGGCGTTTTACGCTATAGGGGTTGAAAGTGCGCCATTGGCGATTACTTGGTACCTATTGATTTTACAAAAAAATGTTTCAAATAAAAGATGTGCAACATTATTTGATCTACAATGTTTATCTAAAAACCTTTTTGATTAAGGGCTGTCTGTGGTCATAAAGGCCGTTTGAAATTTTATAATGAAAATGAAAAATTCTAACCAACGTGAAAAATTTTTCTACAACACATACAACATTTTTGCTTTATGAAGTTTTTACTCACCCCCTGCCGTTTTTCAATAGGGGTAGTTTAAAGTTTATTTACTTTTTCACAAAAAAAATTTCCTTATAAAAGTTTTATAAGATTACATTTCCTACAATTTTTCCCAATCAATTTTTTTTGTAACTCATCCCCATTCAGCGGGGGGGGACACTTCCCTTAGGAAAATTTTAGTTTTTAGGGGTATATATTATTTTTTTTTTCTTTTCTCGCCTTTAGTGCATATAAAAAGGTGCAATTAACATTGTATTAAAATACATTTTTTTCCACCACCTTTTTGTTTTTAGGGGTAGTTCGCCTATTTTCAACTTTACAAAAAAAAGTTATGGAGAAAAGTAGCTCAAAATAATAAAATGAACAAGTTTTCTTTATAATTTTTTTTTGTAAAGTTGAAAATAGGCGAACTATCCCTAAAAACAAAAAGGTGGTGAAAAAAAAAATCCTTTTAATACAATGTTAATTGCAACTTTTTATATGCACTAAAGGCGAGAAAAGAAAAAAAAATTAATATATACCCCTAAAAACTAAAATTTCCCCGAGGAAAGTGTCCCCCCGCTGAATGGGGGTGAGCTCGGGGGTGAGTTACAAAAAAAGTTGATTGGGAAAAATTGTAGGAAATGTCATCTTATAGAACTTTTATTAAGAAAATTTTTTTGTAAAAAAATAAAAAAACTTTAAACTACCCCTATTGAAAAACGGCAGGGGGTGAGTAAAAACTTCATGAAGCAAAAATGTTGTATGAGTTGTAGAAAATTTTTTCACGTCGGTTAAAATTTTTTATTTTCATTATAAAATTTCAAACGGCCCTTATGACCACAGACGGCCCTTAATCAAAAAAGTCTTTCAATAAACATTGTGGATCAAATAATGTTGCACATCTTTTATTTGAAACATTTTTTTGGAAAATCAATAGGTACCAAGTAATCGCTAATGGCGCACTTTCAGCCCCTATAGCGCAAAACGCCAGAGAGGTGAATGTTTGATATTTTCGGTTTTATGATCACCCACCCTCTCCCTATCATCCCTGAAAAGTTCTTTTGGGTAGGATTTTTTTTTTTGAAAATCGACAATTTTCCTAGACTAAGACCCTTTTTAAAATATTTGCTTGCTGACCTCATCAACTTTGGACGGCTATATATCAAAAACTATAGGGTCTAAAAAAAAAAACAAATTATTGTTGTTTTGTTGGAAAATTAGTCCTTCTCGATATAACATATGATAACTTTTGCCGTTGAATGGGTCCTTAGTGCTCAATATTGACAAACACTGAAAAAAACTGTCGAATTTTCCTTTTTTGTAAATTTTGCAAAGATTTATATTGCTGTATCTTAAAAACTATTCCACCTACAAGGACCAAATTAATCTTTTTTTTTTTTAATTTTGTTTAGGTACTCTAAAATTGTATATAACTACTTTTGCCGTAACATTAGTCCTTGGTTGTCAAAATTGACAAAATGTGAAAAAAGTGCGAAAATTTAGCGGTTTTGGTAATTTTTTTTAACAATGATCCGGGCTTTCGTGGTCGAAAACTCGGATTTGTTATTACCACTTCATCAGATAGGTACAACATATCAGAAATTTGTACCTCATTTCATGCAAGGTAAAAGTACCAATTCCTATAGTGCAATTATTCACAACTTAATAAAATCGGCTAATTTTTTATTCATACTATAAAAGTGATGAAAAAGGAAATTATTATTTACATAGCAAATAAACTAAAACGAAAACAGGCAAAAATAAACTCTTTGCAAATAAAAACTTTTTTTTTAATTTACTCAAAGTTTGTGCACATCAAATTTTATCTCAGTCGCCCTGGAGAATAAATATCTGAGGTACAATGTTGTCACAATTAATTGTTAACATTTTTCTAAAAAATTCTGCGATAACTCCGAATATACTAAGAATTGATCCATGGGGGAAGAGTTTTAGCTTGAAATGGGCCATATTATCACTTATCACATGTTAAAATATTTGTACTCAAACCTGATACCTACACCCTTTCTTTATATTATTATGTAGGTAGGTAATAGTATATAACTTTAACCGCAAAAACTTAATTTTCGAAACATTTCAGGTCGGTACAAAGTATGTAGTTATAATTTTGTTAGAGAAAGTTTAGAAAGTAATTGTTTGCGTAAAACTTAATAAACATCCAAGATCAATCCTTTCACTAAAAAATTACCTAAGAAAATTATTGTATCCAAGTATTTATTTTATAGTAGAAACTTTGAGAAGTTTGAGAAGTTATAATTTTTAAGTCATTAAAAAAACTAGGGCTTAATGCGATATATTTGTATAGCTCCGAGTTAAAAATTCAAATGTGTAATATGGTTTATCTCAAAGTCGACAAACAAAAAGGAAACTCATTGGAAAAATGTCAAAACTAGGTACGTTGATTAAAATTTAATTCAAATTATTTTAGCGGAAAAAGGGGAGAGAAAAGAAAAGAGAAAAGTAGAGCCCTTTTCTAATTAAGGTAACTTTTCGGAATCCCGTTTATAGAATTTCAAATGAAGTTGATGGGAGGAGAGTTAGAAAAGTTATTTTTCGGACGACATTTTTGGCCCATAATTTTTGAGGGATTGAAAGCTCCAAAAAAAAAACTGCCCAGACAATAATAATACGAATTCCCCCAAGGAGAGCTAAAAAAATCCCCGATGTGAAATTGAATATTTTATATTCGGTTTCAAATCTATTCTGTTGATTTGGCGGTAAAATAGGGTTTCAGGGAGGCCGCGCAAAATCAATCAATCTGTCAGAGCGGGTTTGAAAACTGAAAATAACACGTTATTTTGCTGGAAAGGTAACATTATTGCGTTTTTATATAAGCACGTCAGTTACAACAGGGACAGCTGGTCTTCGGAGAATAAAAACTTGTGCGCTGTAAATTTCTGAAAGGCCCTGGATAGCTTCATAGTCAGCGATTTAATATTGTCAGTCAAATAATTGGTATAATGTCGTTTATTTATCGAACCATTGCACATATGTTATGGCCAATTTTGAGAGAGGAAAAAATCCCGGCATTTGATTAAAAAAATATTAACTCACAGTAACCCAAGTAGTCATAGCTTTGGGCAAAGGCGTAAGTGACACTGTATTTACGAGAAGGTACAGTCATATGTGTTCGGCCTTACTTCTAGCAAAAAATTGAACCTGGGATTTTTGTTCAATTTTGGAGTTCCAGTTTCCTTTACTTTGTATTG